CCATCTGTGAGCCTCTCACCGTTGGGAGCCAGCCCCTCCAGAGTTGACGCTGTCAGCCTCATTGGTAGCGGCGGAGGCCAGGGACAGACTGGAGCCTGACTGGGCGTTGCTCAGGTTGTCAACTATAACAAACAGATTAAACTATTTACAACATTTTGTTACAAAGTTACACTGCTGATTTAGAAGCAACTACTAGCTATGCAGTAAAGACTATATAGAGGACTTAGCCATCACAAGAGAATAAATGCTATTCCATTGCAGTTGGGTTTAATATGGACATGGTTTTAAATTATGTTTAATGAGACCCACAGGATGAAGTGGCACCATGCTGAGGCACGTTAATAAAAATGGAGCTCCAGTTAAATGTCAACTAGTGATGTAACAATCTTACGTGTGGAAGAGCACTTGGAGAAATTTTCAATGGAGGATTCCTCTCTGAAGACGGTCTTGGGTCTGTGTTTCTGCTTCAGCTTGGGGTTTTTGGGCTTCACGAGACCTTGCTCCTCAATCATCTCCTGCTGCTTTCTCCGCAGATACTCCTGCTTTATCAGCTCCCGCCGTGTCTTCTCCTCTTCTTTACGCAGGCGCTCCTCCTCAGCCTTCCGTCTGGTATTGAAATCAAACACCTGATTGTTGGCATCTTTTTTTGTTAGAATAACATCTAAATCCTATGATAACGTTAGTAAAATTTGTCACCTGGCTTCATCTCGCTTGAGCTCAGATTCTGCTTCTAGTTGCTGTTTACGGAGTCGAGCTTCCTCAGCTTTCTTCTGCTGCTTCAGCAAGAATGCTGCTCGCTTCTTAGCAAGCTCATCCTCTGCCTTCTGCTCATCCTAGAACATGAAACAGCATCATTTGAATAGTGAAGCATTTAACTGTGATGCAAGTAAAGTGCTGAAATTAACAGGACAGTTATCAGTGGCTTAAATTATTTTTTGTGTGGAGCTGAGAAATATTTTGAATATTTGTGTATTAAATGTTTATGATGAAAAATGGCAAGGATGCCATTACTAGACCCTGAACCACTGCAATTATTTTTGAATTATTGCTGTAAAAACTAAATCAATATATTAAAAATGTATAACTCTTTCCACTTTTATCCAGAGGCATTACCTTGAAGAAGAAGCCCATGACTGACTTCTGCTCTCCATCACCTCCCTCTGTCGCTTGGTCCTCAGCAGCCTCCTCCTCCTCAGGAGCTTTCAGGTCTGACAGATCAACTTCAATCAGGTGGGCTTTGTTAAGCTGCACCTCCTCTGATGGTAGAGTCTCCTTCCCAGAACCATCTGAAGAATTGAGCTCAGACTCTCTCAGCGTGCTGGACAGGCACTCACCAAAGGACACTTCTGAAGCAGCCACTGCCGACAGGTCCACTCGGGTGGGCAGGCGCACGTTCGCCTCATCGTGTAGCCGGAAGGCAGCGCTCTGAACATGGCCAGAGCCCGGCCTGTTGATTGTCTCTGCTGCTGTGGGGTTTCTGGGGCTGTCTGGCTGCTCAGTCCTGGGGGACCTGCCCCCAGCTAACAGCCTTGGGTGTGGTACTGTCTCTGACCCACTGTGGGTGGGGGTGAGGGTCCTAGAGGCCTGCCGGCTCTGCTCCTTGGCTACCTTTAGCTCTGATGGTTTGGACCTGGAAGTCCGGCCAGAGCTCAGCTTGGGGGGTTTTCTGGTAGGGGCGGTCCCAGTGCCAGAAACATGCTCCACAAAGTGAAAGCTTGCCCCCACCTTCGAGTCACCATTTTTGTCACTGGTGAGAGGAGGATGTGGAGCTGCACTAGGAGGGGACTGTACATTCTGTTTCATCAACATCTCCTGTTGCAGTGACAGCTGCATCATCTGCTGCTGGATGCTGCCGATGGCTTCATTCAGCAGTTCGATGGAGCGACTGCACTCATTCAGGTCCAAGTCTTCATCTAGATAGAAGCTTCCATTGTTCCCTTTCTTGTCTGCATCTAAGGCACCTGGCGGGGTGATTCCCTCCACCTCTTTGGTCCCCCTCAGGGCATCAACACACATATCATCTTTACTTGATGGTCCTTTCTCCCCATTGAGCTCGTCTTTAGAGAGGTCAGCTTTAAGTGGGTTGGGTAATGTGTCGCTCTTGCCTCCCCCTTTCTTTACAATGTGCAGGAAGGCTGCCTTTCCCAGCTTCTGCCTCTGCCTCGCTGACAGCACTTCCATCTTCTTCTTCTGGTGCTCAATGGCACGTCGCTTCTCCTCAAGCTGCATACGGAGCTGGACAAGTTCAGAAGCCAGTACATTAGCACCACCACATCCTCCCAAAGGTGAGGAGGGGCTCTGGTCTCTTTTAAGCTTCCAGGAGGAAGCCAGGGGGCCACTGCTCTCTGATCCATCTGGAGTGGTCCTTTGGGAGCTGGAAGCACTGGTGCATAGGTCATGGTTGCTGCCGAAACGCTGCTTCTGGGCTTTGCGCTCTGCGAAGGAGGTCATACGCACACTGCCACTGGCCATGCTGCTGGCCTGGGAGTGAGCGCTGAGACATGGGCTAGAACGACCACTGCCACCATTCAGATCTTTGTCCACATGCTCTTTCACATTCAAGTCTTCTTGTAGTTTGGCTGATTCTTCTTCTTCATCTTCCTCATTGAAGGCTTTCCTGGGTCGGTTGGGGTCTTTAGTGGTAACAGCTTCGTCCAAATCCTCTTCCTCCTCATCCAGGTCTTCCAGCCCAGCGTCCAAGCCCTGGCCAGACTTTGGTTCTTCAGAGCCTAAATGCAGGTAGAAACCTTCGGCTGGTTCTTTGGACGAGGAGTCCACACTGCTAGGCACAACAGGCCTGAAATCAGTCTGACCCTGGGGAGGGACATCGGCCAGATCTGCCTCCTCACCTGGAGGGATAAAGGTTTGTCTCAGATTGCAAGGAGCTTTCCTACGAATAGCTGATGTAGATCCATCCCCATGGCGTAAAGAGCCCCTTCCTGAGGACCGAGGCCCCTCACCACTCTCCTCCTCCTTGTTTAGGCATATAGACTTTTCTTTAGCTGTTTTGAGTATGGCAGGCATCAGTGGTTCAAGGTAAAAGCTATCTGATGCAGGGCTGGACTCAGTGGTAGGTTTGGATCCCACTTTGGCAGTCGCTTGTGTCCCATCAGCCCGTTTTGCGATGACAGGACTATCAGTCCTGGCAACCGTCCCTGGAGTTTCTTCTTCATCCTCAATGTTGGCATTGCCCAGCAGGCTGTGGCCGTTGACTCTGCGCATTGCAGCCTGTGAGGGCTGGTGGACAGACGTCTGGTGTTTGGGTGTAACATTAATGACATTAGATGCCAGGCTGTCCTTACTTATGGAGCGAGCCAAACTCACACTGTCACCAGAGGCCATGTCTGCATCACTATCTGTGGCTGAATGCAACATGTAGGGGCCCAGTGTGGATATAGGTCTGCAGAGAGAGCGCATGGGCAAGGTCAGTATAATAAACAGGTTGCACTATACAGAACTCATTTACATTTCACATTTGCACATCTGGGCCTTACTTACACCCACATTATCTCATCATCATTCTAACTATATACTTATAAAATCTTTCCCATGCCAGGTTTAGTGCAGAACAGCACATATGGAAAAACATTTTGTATCATAGAGCACTTAAAAAAAAAAAACTAAACTAAACTCTCATACCTTTAGAGAAAATTATATATTAAAATTTATATGCCTACAAAGGGAAATGGAGCGGGGCTGTACTCTAAGCATATTTATAAATTAGTCACCATAAAGATCCTATCCTTAAAGCAATGTTTCTCACCTAACTATCTGGAGAACAACACATGTAAAATAAAAAGCTCAGAACTTGTTACATGAACACAAACATTTGTTTTGGCACTTTGAAGGTACCTTTGCCTTTTGTCGGGCCATGCAACAACAGAGCCTTGGGGTTGTCTGTCCATCTGGCTCAGGGAGTTTGAACGGTTTCTCAAATCTAACCAGAAACACATAAGCAGTCAACAGGTATGGAACAGACTCCTGGTAGCAAGTTCAAAATTAACCTGTGTCTTTTTCTGGCATATATAAAGGATCTAAAGATGTGTGTATTTGGAAAAGTGGCTCCACTGTTTTCCTTACCCGCACCATCCTCTCCTCGTAGGATGACCCAAAGTCGCACCCAAGACATCTGATTGCCAAACAAATCCACATACCCACAGTGAAAGCCAGGTATTTTAACATATAACAGACAAGAACATATCAAGACAAAAACCCAAATGACAGTTTGTCACTCAGTCTTCCCTTTCAGTTTCCCAAACAATCACTAACAAGCACACAGACAAAGAGAAAATGCTAAGAAAACAGCTTTACTCTGTTATTATTCACTTTGGTGAAAAAGAACACAAACAGGTTAAAGATGATGAGCACATGAAAATTTAAGTCAGACACCACTGCATATCTACCCATCCTTGTAGGAATACTGTTAGTTGACAGGATCATGATGAGGTGGAATGAAAAGGAAAGTGAGAAAGACTTACAGGGGGTCAGAGTCTTCAGGATGCAGGAAGTACCTGTTACAGACTTCAGGGCTGCTCTGGTTATCGGAGACACCAGGGTTGGCCAGGAAGCTGCGCTTAGTGGCGTTAGAGATGGGCACTGAGGGACGGGCACTCTTGGGCTGAGCTATGGCTCGAGCTAAGGAAAGGAGGACAGAGGTGCTGATCATTAAAATGCAAGAACTGACTGAGGTTTACTATCTCCAGAAAAGTTCAACCTGCCATGATTTACTTCTAATTGTGACCCAATAATAATAATGCTAAAACCTGCTAAGCAATCAGTCTTTCACTAATGTGCCATCTTGTCAGTGTAGTATCACACTGTGATACTCACCATCTTTGAACTCCTGGATATCTCTGGGCTGGACAAACTCTGGCTTGACAGTCTCAAACCACCAGAAGAGTTCAGCAATGAACACCATCACATTGTGCTACACAGAGGGCACAACAAACTCATTAACAAGACTTGAATGCAGACTAAATCATAAAACATCATGGTCCCCCACCCCTAATACAAAGGGTTTTTAAAAAAAAATCTTAAGCAGGTAAAATAGTGACAGCAGCCGTGTCTGTCGCTGCCTAACATTGGTTGGCTTCTTGTACTACCAGGGTTCTTATGTTAATGAAACCAGCATGTCACTTATTGTACCTTGAGCACGAGCGGTGCGTAGAGAAGGTCCTCTGTCGTCAGATAGAAACTTTTATTCAGATACTCGTTGGCGAACTCTCTAAGCAGCTGGATGTTGTATAGGCTATCAGCAATGGAAGGAACTTCTTTCAGGCAAATATCTGATGAGACAGGCAAAGCCCAGGTCAGATCAGGACACCACTCAATGACCTTATGGTTATAAATGTCACACTGACTGGACTGGGACAGTATGCCAAGTGCCAAAAATAGTATCACACATGGATATTGACTTTACTATATTTGCTAATTAAGTTTGATACTTATTATGGAAAAAGTCTTTGAGGGCAAGTTATGTATCTATTGAATGAGGGCGTGTGTGTGTCTCAAGTGCATGCATGTAACCACAGCATACCCTCCAGCTTCACAAGGTCTGGACAGTAGTAATGGACCACAGCGAGCAGTGCAGCTCCATCACAAACATCCCTCATCAGGTCTTCTAGCATCGGGAAGAAGGGCAGCTGTCGGCCTGAAGCGTGTTCCCGACGATATCGCACCTACCCAGCAGAGGGAGAGGATAAGGGTTTATGAGAAGAAAGGCCACAACAGCAGCACACACTACCATGGTACTACTAACAAGTAACATACTGCAAAACATCCTAGTGACTGGTGTCAAGAGTACAAATCTCGTGTATAGAGATTCACATCTGAACTAGTCAAAGCATCTATTATCCACAGATGTTTCCAGGCCAGTTAAAGCTCTAGCCAATCAGATCAAGGTTCTCCCCAGGACTTTCAAAACAAAAGGTATTTGGTTTTATTAATACAAGTTTAGCATTATGTTTAATGGATTATTCATGATGCTACTGTGGAATGTAAAGGTTCAGTGGCACCATAATCACAGTTTAGGGAGAACCTTGAAGACCTGGTTAACTGTGATTAGATGGAGGTGGAGGTGTTTGAGCAGTGATATGAATAACACAGACTGGATGGTGAGCCTTCACCCAGCTTTAATGGGAAGGCAGCCAGCACTGGATCCCAGTCAGCCCAGGCAACACGAGTCACCTGACTGGGACAAAAAGTGGGGTAATCACCGGCCTACTTATGGAAACTCACTTACCCCAGATGCATTAGTTTTGGATATATACGGCAAACAGCAGGTAAAGATGGGTATTTTCTGTTGTTTTTTAGTGTGCATGATTTATTGATACAAGTGAACAAGTACAAATTTACCAAATACAGACAAAAAAAAAAAAAGACAATATCACCGTTATACATGTGTGTAAACCTCAGAAGTTTCAAAGGAAGCTCACTCACAGACCTACATATGACATAAATATAGGCCACAATGGGTGCCAAAGCACACTATACTGACTGGTACTGCTGCTTGTATCGCCAAATGCTTGTGAGCTACTTGCAGATATTCACGTTACACTGAAAATATTGCTCCCTGATCAACCTGACTCTGTGGGACCAATAAAAGTATGCAGATCAAGCAAACCATGCACTGGTATGGAAAATGTGTAAGATCTTTGCATGACATGATAGAGAAGTAGGAATTATTCCAATAAACATCCTAATTAAAAGTACAGTATAACAAAATCTAATGCAACAGTACTATATACATCCTCAGCAAGAAAAAGGGAAAATTAACACCCTGGTAGAATTCTGGCGAAACTATGCACTAACTAAACAGACCGCACACAGCCGGGCAGCAAACCAAAGACACTTATCTAAATAACATACAACATTCACAGCTTTTGCACTTCAATACACCTATTTGGAAGATATTTCACAAACTACACCTACTGTATTAAGGCAGATTTTGTCACAAGTCTCAAGTGAAACTAACAACTCAACAATAAGCTGTACTGCAAGATGAGTTCTACATACAGTGAGTGAGTTGTTCCCTGACTAGAAGGCAACAGTGCTCTGCTTTGGAGAGCTCCTCTGGCTCCAGCATGCAGTGGGCCAGCTTGTGCATGGCATCAGGCTGACACACAAGCACACACACGGAGCAGATACTGTCAGAGGAAGCCGTGGGTACAGAGGAAACAGTGTGTGAGAGCAGAGGAGAGAGGCCAGAAGGGGCATGACAAAGCAGATCAGTGGCCAGGAATGGGACTGCAAAGCAAAGGAGAGTTGTAGGCATGATTTTGCTTTAATTCTCACTGGGCAAGCAAATAACACAAACACACAGAAAAAAGAAAATCCACATGGCCTACTTGATCTTGAAATGAGATAGAACACATTGTGCAGCTAAAGGAAAATCTGTTCAAAATGTCACAAAGGTCAGAATAACCTTACATCTGTGTGGCATATTTGCTACTAGAAGAAAAAAAAAGAAAACCAATAACTGTCAGATTCCTCCCCCTTGCTGTCACAGTGGCTACAAGCAGCAGAGAATGAGCTTGAATGAGCCATGGTGGAGTATGCGCGCACATCAACACAGAACTATGCGTGCAAAGGGGAGAGGAGGAAGAAAATGGGGTTATGGAGGGGACTGGCATCCAACTTACAGGGACTAGCTTCCAATACCATTTGGAGGGAGACTATCCAGTTTGCAGGGATAAAAGAGGGGAGGGAGGGGAAGATGAGGAACAGGAGTAGAAACATTAACAGGTCAGCGGACACAGAGAAAAGGATTGGATCTGCTTCTGGTTTAAACAGACAAAGAGCAGGCTCAGGACAACACCAAAAATGCCTTTAGGAAGAAACTTTTATTATAAAAACTAAGGATTCTGCTGCAGTTGGATAAAAACCCACCTGGTTGAAGACTTTGTTAGGAAAATGTTTCTAATAAAGCAGGTCCCCCAAAAAATGAAGCTACTGGCAGAAAGGTGCTGGTCATTTTGGTTATATTAGGTTTTTGGATTTCTCTCCTGTTTAAAAAAATAAATAAATAAAAATAAAAAAGCAGCTGGAGCGGCATTACCTTTTGATGGCTGGGGGACTCCAGTGGGTGGTGCTTGGCCTTATGCTCCTTCTCCATAATCTCCCTCATCTTCATGTTCACCTGCAGAAAAAGGACATGTTCAGTATAGGAATGCAAAATTTGAGAAACTCTTAATTGATTTTTTTTAGCAATATTGTTTTAAGATATGGTTTTCCCCCCAACTTTTCTTCTGTATTGTTCACTGCAAACAAGCTTTACTATAAGTGACAATAAGAAGACCAACCTGACATCCAAATAACTGACAGATAGGTTTATTGCTGTTCAAATTCCTTTGTATGAAGCTGTTTTTCCACTTTTCACTTTCCTCTCTATAACTAGTTATTTGGCTATAGGCTGGAGAGTGCAACATTCACACTATACAGCAGTAAATACAGAACAGGAATTGATTTGATTTGATTTTGATTTGATTTATTCTTTTAAGCAAGTAAAGACAGTTGATATGTCAACACACATAATTTTACACATATCCAACAAATGCTAATCCAATATCAATTTGCTTATACCTAGAACATGCTTGAATGGAGTAGGAAGAAGTCAGACTTATCCAGTCCTACCCCATGACATCATCTTACCATCATTGGTTTGCAAGCAGTATCTCTACATAAATAATTATCTTTTACACCACACAAGTAATATACTAAAGAATTATTACAAAGTGTTAACATTCATACACCACACCCACAATGTTCCATCT